GCAGTCCACAGTCCGTAGTCCACAGTCCGTGGTCCACCGGCTCCCAGGCAGAAATGGCGGGTGGAGGAAGCTGTGTGATTGTGGCATCCGGAAGGCAGAGGAGGGTAAGCGCCCAAGAGGGAAACCAGAGCTTAGACGGAGCCCTAAGGTCATGGCTCTAGGACCAGCCAGACGTGCCCCAGAGCCTGTTTTATGGTCCCCAGGTAGCTCTGAAGCTGATCAAGTTGACATGAAGATACGGGTCATGGTGGTCTTGGCAAGGCTGGCTTCAACGCGCTTGTTCAGCTTGAGATCACTTCAAGGCTTTCCATTCAGTTTCTTGGTGCCTCTCTCCAGGGCGTCCTGGCCCTCTGCCAGCCACGGCCATCTCCTCTGTGGCCAGGACTCCAGAAGTAGTATTGCTGAACTTGAGAAATAAGGAGGCAGCCGCCAGAGGGCTCTTATTGGTATTGCTGCTTCTGAAAAGTGAAACGAGCTGTCTTCAAGGCTGGTGACCTTGGGAGGGACATGGCGACCTTCACCTGTTGGTCTTAGGATGTGGTCACGTAGTCTTCCTTGCTCTGTCTGGTTTCTTGGCTCTGGTGTCACCACTGTCTATTGTACGTCTCTTTCCTACCTCAGTAGCAGCGCTCAGCTGGCCCTGCTCCTTGGCCCAAGTGCAGAGGGGAGCTCTCATTTCCTAGGCTTTAGCCAGCAGTCTTGAAGAAGGGTCTGGACCTGTGCTCACGGAGGCATCGTGATGCAGAGCCGCAGCATCTGTGCTCCAAGTGCTGTCCTCCTGGCCCCAGAACTCTCCCATCTGTGCCCTGTGTAACTATAAATTCCACCAAAGCAGATCGGCAAGCCCTGCATCTTCCTTGCCCCTGCAGCCATGGTGGCATGTGGAAAACTCTAAACAGAGTCAGAGGGCTGCTTCCTGTCCCTGTGTGACCTTGAGCTGGCACAGAGGCCCAGTCACGGCTGCAGAGGTCATCAAGTAACCAGAGGATCTGCACTAAGCAAGACCCAGGAGCTGCCCCAGCCCCACCATTAGGAGCAGAGGCAGTGAGACACTTTCCCAGAATCACAGAGCTAGGAAGAACAGGGAAGGGATTTCCTCCAGATGTTTGGCTCCAAGGTCTGAATGCCGAAGGCCAGAGCGTAGAGAACTCCTGCTGCAGCTCCTCAGCAGCCCCATATGTGTCCCTCAAACTGTCCCCAGCTTATTCCCAGGCAACCTCCTGGACAAGTCCTACTTGTTCTGTTTGCTGCTTAGCAGGCTGGTGGCCCATGCTGTCCTCAGTGCCCAATGCATTGGACCTGGGCCAGCCTCTGCCTGCACAGGTGCCTTTGTTCCAAATCCCTGAGGCCAGCTGACCTGATCGTTGCTGCCACTGCCCTTGAGGACTTGCTCTGCTCCTTTTACCAAAACCAGTTTGAGACAGTCTGTCCTTTGAGGCATCGGACCTTACTGCCTGCCACCTTCCCACTTGCCACCTTGCTCCTGCCCCAAACAGTCCTGCAGGGTCAGCAGCATTGTCCTCACTTTCCACATGAAGTACCCATGCTTGCACAAGGCCCCAGGGTGGTGCTGGCACATGCATACCCTGATGGCAGGCGCATCACCCACCTGGGCTCGGCCAGCCCCACTGAGTGCCAGACACCTGGGACGAAGCCAGTTTTACCCAGCCTCAGACCTTCCATCTGTGGGGCTCGAAAAGTCCTTGTCATGGGGGCAAAGGGTGCCCAGGCCTCCCTTGGCTGCTACCTACTTGGCCAGTTGCTCCTCAGCAGCTGTGATAGCCAAAAATGTGTCCCAGTATCACTCAATGTCCCCTAGTGGGAAGACTGCCCTGTGTGGACCAGATATTGCCGGTGACTCCGTACCCAGATGCTGGAGTCCGTGAGTGGTTTCCTGGCACCTGGGCGAGTGCACAGCGCTGGACTTCACGCTCAGTTATTTATAAATTCCCTTCAGCACTGTCCTGACCACCATCCCTCTTCTGTCACCATAGCTTTCAAGTTTTTATCTCTGAAATTAGACCTGCCACTTTCAATCACTTCTGTCTGGTAGCTGCCTGCTGAGCAGCCTCTGTCTGCTTGGGGCCCAACTCACCTGCCGGAAGGGGCACAGGGTCAGGGCCCCCGCGGCAGCTCCCGCCAGCCTGACTGGAGCCCTCACTCCCGAGAGCTGACGCCGCCGTGTCTCCAGTTCCCACGGTGGCCACAGCACAGGCAGCACGCGGAAGTGTTCAGCAACCGAGAGGGCCTGGGGCGCCGAAGGGCAGAGCTCTCCTGAGCTGAAAGTTTGACCCATACCAATGCTCTCCATGACTATTAATTTTGCTTTCTCAACTTCTCTGCTTAAAAAGCACCGGAAAGCTAGCGTGGTGCGCACCTGTTTGTGTCTGGTGAGCGGGGCCGTGTGTCGGGGGCGTGGCGTGTGTCGGGGGCGTGGCGTGTGTCG